TCTTCAGCCATTTTTGCGTGCATTTATGTCCGCCTAAGAAAAACGACTGCAAAAAAATGCAATCTTTTTTCTTTAGTGCAGAAGTCAACGCCAGCCGCGCAGGTCCCTTTAAAATTGTTCTTGTTTTTGGACGATGTGCGAGTTCGGTCGCTTGTGTTTTGTTGTTGCAAACTCGGGATCGCGGGGATGTGCTCGCTACCTGCGCCAAAGGTCAGTGTGGTTGTTTTTGTAAATCTTCACGGTTCGCTGATCGCGAGGACCGACTGCAATTGTGCGACTTGCTGGCGCATCCGAAAAAAGGTAACGGTTTGAGCAGTGTGAGCAAATTGAGCCACGGCGTGCCCATCGCTGCATTAGAATAATGCATTAGCTACATTGCATTGGCTGCATTGGCGCGATAATCGATAGATCTACAACAAAATACGGGTTTAATGAAGAAAATTGTAATTGAAAAATGTATTAGCCAGCTCATTGACAGTATGGTCTCACAATGAGAATTTTATTTTTATATCATTTCGCTGCTTCAAGCTTCATGCCGTTAAATTGAGCGTCCAGCGCTGTGAACAGGTCATTCGCTTTGCGAAAATTGACCCTGAGCTCACTAAATTCACTTCTGGTTTGCCGCATGAAGGATAACATTTCCTTCTCAACCTCACGACAGGCATGGCAACGCAAGCCAGAAATTGGCAGAAATTGCGTCAGCGATACGGCCCGTTAAGTCTAGACGCTTAGCGTGAACGACCGAATCGCAAAGCCAGCAGCAAAGGCTGGGCTGATCTGCCAAAACCTCTTTTTGGCAGCCTTTAATTTCACAAACAAGATTTAACACCATTTTCACGAACCTTCAACCACGGTGCCCAGATAATCAGTACCGAAAAAAAACAAGAGAGCGGGAGAGTAGACGTGGGAGAGCGGAGAACAGATGAGAGCTTAGAACCGCTTGAGTGCAGCTATAAGCAACTAAAACGGGACAGCACAAAAGGGAACAAGAGAACGCAAAAAAAATCAAGTAGTTAATAAAAACATAAATATTAATCAAACACTGAAAGCCACATGCACATGCACTCGCGTAGCAAAACGGCAAAGTTATGAATTGTATTTTAACAAATTAAAATCTGGACCCCGGTGGTTTTAAATGCAAAACAACACAAAAGTTCGGAGCGCAAATCAAAAACACGACCGTTCGCTATGAAAGTTCAAAGACGATAAAAGGTGAGAGACCATCGCAGTCGAATTTTTCAGAGTCATTAAGGCTCTCCACAGCGAGTTGGCAGTCGGACTCAGTGACATATAAGCTCCCAATATTAGTGCTTGGAGGAATGGAACGAAGCGTGAAATCATCATTCCATGAAGATAATGGCTCGAAATTTGACGGAAAGTATTTGGCAAACAGATTTGCCACTTCGATATCAGAGGATGCTGACGAATTATCTAATGACATGTGGGAGGGGATGTATGATGTTGTTTTCTTGGAATTAACAAAGTGCCAGAAAGATTTAGGATTGTTAATTAGTCTCATTTCAACATCTGCTATGTATTGGTTGTACAAGAACTTGTTTAAGAACTCGAATTCGCTCTTATGCTGTTTATATCTATCGAAGTCTGCAGAATTACCATTTTCAACGTATCGGTTATAAAATTTATTTCTGAGATTCTTGTATTTTTTAAGCCCATGCGTACACCATGGTAATTTATACGAACAAAAGAGCCTTTTTGGCGTATTTTTTAATGATAGCTGAAATAGTTATTAAAAAGTTATCATAGCAAGTGTCCAAATTATCATGCGAAAGGACCTCAACCCAATTAACAAGCTTAATATCATTTCGAATTAAATTTAAATTGTTCATATTAAAGTACAATGAAGATGTGCTTAGTTTATAAGTCGAAAATATATAAGTAAATAATGAAATCAGTAAGGTGCTTAGCTGGGTGGCACCCCTGACGCAACCCGAAGAATCCTGTCATCCCACTTTCGATGTGACAATCGACAATGGGACTGTTTCATGGAATACATCTGATTGTCCAGCCCAAAAAGTCCTCTGCTTTAGCAAGACGGACTTCGTACGGCTGAATAATTTTATAATTTACTATAATTGGTCCGATCTATACATATGCACTGACATGGGTGAAGCCGTGGATATTATTTACAGTGCTATTTTTTATTGAATGTGTTCCGTTATACTATCCGTCAAAATCAGTTTTCTGAGGACCCAAAACAGTTTTATAATTTTGTTAAATCTAAACGTAAACCCATTACTCATCCTTCCTAGCTTTTTTCGATAATACAACCGTAGATAATGATCAGGCAATAGCCGATCTTTTTGCTCAGTTTTTTCAAACCACTTACTCCAACTTAATAGACCCAAATCAGGCTTATTCTTACATCATTCCCAAATCGAACCAAATCTTCAGTCCTACTTTAAACGAAAGCTCTCTTCTTTTAGATCTTCATCGTGTTAAGCCAGTTTTTTTTTTCAAGTCCCGACGGAATACCAGGCTGTGTGCTTAGGAATTGTGCCGAAGCCCTATGCAATCCACTATCTAATGGTTTACCTTATCCTGAGAAACCTCCCACTTTCCCCTTATTTGGAAGGAATCATTCGTTATTCCTCTCCATAAAAAGGTAGCAAATTGGAGGCCTGTAATTATAGAGGAATCTCTAAGTTGTCGGCCATCCCAAAACTGTTTGAAAATGTGATTACTCTGTAACGAATCTCTCCGGCCGGGATCCTCTTCAAGAAATTTATTTAGAGGGGACGGAAATATTTGTAGGAAATTAGTATAACAGCGTATGGGACCCGGGTCACGAATTTGCGCGCACTAAGTTCTGATCCCCGAGGGTCGGCAACGTGGCTGCCGGACGATGTGGTCACGAGAAGCTCTAGGAGCAGGCGGGGCACACGCTCTGCTTGTTAATGGCCGGTCGCCACGCTGCTTTTACCGACTCGTCGATCTGCTTGATCGGTCGGTCCCTGACAGAAAGTTGCTCGTCGCGAACTGCTTTAGACACTGCTTGCGCCTACTGCTTGTTTGTACTGCTTTCGCCGGTGCGCGGAGTGGCAACTCCGGTGGACTCCTGGCGGGATTTGGTTGATCTCGCCCAGAATTCGGGCGACGTGGGTCGGGGGAATGGCCAGGGCGTCAGAGAGGTGCTAGTCAACTCCGGCTGGGCACGGAGGCTGGCTACGGGTCGGTCAGGCAGAGATTCTCGTGTCACCGTGGTGATGCACGGTGTGCGGAATGGCCAATGCAGGCGTGGCGGCAGCGTGTGCCGGAGTGTCCCTAATCTAGGAGTGGATACGGGCGCGGATGCACTCGTAGTCGTGGCGGTACACGGTACGCCGGAAACCAGCGTTGGTGTGGCGCGGCGGCTACGGGCACAAGAAGGGGGTCCCTAGTGGGGCGAAGGCAGAGGAGCACGTGTCCTCCAGTCGCGGCGGCACGTTGAGCACGGAAGGAGCCTGTGCTGGCGTGGCGCTGCGGCTGCAGGTATGACAGAGGGTTCCAAACTGTGCGTGGACGGAGGAGTATGTGTACTCCAGTCGCGGCGGCACGCTGTGCACGGATTGAGCCTGTGCCGGCGTGACACTGCGGCCGTGGGCACGGGAAAGGATTCCTAACTGAGCGAGGGCAGAGGAGCAGGTGTCCTCCAGTCGCGGCGGCACGCTGGGCACGGAAAGAGCCTGTGCTGATGAGACGCTGCGGCGGGGAGCATGGGAGAGGATTCCTAGCGGTGCGGGGCAGAAGAGCAGGTGACCTCCAGTCGCGGCTGCACGCTGGGCACGGAAAGAGCCTGTGCTGACGTGACGCGGCGGCGGGGAGCACTGGAGAGGATTCCTAGCGGTGCGGGGCAGAGGAGGAGGTGACCTCCAGTCGCGGCGGCACGCTGGGCACGGAAAGAGCCTGTGCTGGCGTGACGCTGCGGCGGGGAGCACGGGAGAGGATCGATGGGAGGCTGGGTGGGCTGGAAAGTACGTGCGAATGGAAATGCCAAAACGCAGTATTTTGGGGCCGCCAGCGGGACAGAGATCGGGGGACCTGAAAACCGTGACCAATACTACCAAGGAAATACGGGTAAGTTCGATTGTTAGTTTATTGATTATTGTGTTATCTAAGTGTGAGTCCTACTACTGCCTTACAGAATTGACTCCTGTAACTTACAAATCTAGCCCACGTGTCTGCGGACGTGTGGCTGCCGATCGCGGTCGTTGTCTGGCAAAGATTTATCTGCGCGAATGTGTGGGCTCTTGTAGCCGATGTCTCTGCGTGGTCGCGTACGTCACGGTCGTCAACGAGGACACGATGCACTTGGATTTCCGACTTGGTCGCGGAGACGCGGCGATGGGCACGTCTGCCTCGGTGCAAAGTTTCGACGGAAGAGTGACTTGATCGCGGAGACGCGGCGATGGGCACGTGAGCTGTCATAGCTTTTGAGTGAACCGGTGGTTCGAACCGGTTCACCGAGAACTGATCTGGTTCGACTAGTTCGACTAGTCGATAGTGTGCCCGATTTAGCGACCTCTGAGGTGCTGAACTTAGCTTATTCGTTAGCTTAATTATCCCTATTTAAATATACTCCAAGGTTGTCTTGCTTACGGCTCCAGTGCCAACTAAAAGATTTAATGATTGAACATGGCTTCAATGCCGTCTTAAGATGTATGCTTATAATATAGCTATAATATGGGGGGGAGTATTTATAGATACTTAATATCTAGAACTTAGTTTATGTTAGAGGTTGTGCGCCGAGGAATAGAGGCGTCACACTCCCTCCCTACTCCGCCGAACCAAAACGAATCTGGACCTCTCCTGACGTCTTCATTGTAATTTGGTAGGGGCCTTCCGGCGTGCGGACGCGGAAGCGCTGACGGCAGTAACGTGCGGCATAGCTCCGGCGCTCTATCTCCTGCCAGACCGCCAGTGGGACTCGTTGGTCGTGAGTATTAGTCCACCACGCGGCTGGTATGGCGACTCGCTCAGGCACTGGGTCGTCGGTGGTAAAGTCATCCGCAGGGACCTGGCGAGTGAAGCGTGGCGCTGGAGGTGGGACCTCGTCGGCGGTGGTGGTCGCAGGGACTGGGCGAGCGAAGCGCGGCGCTGGAGGTGGGACCTCGTCGGCGGTGGTGGCCGGGGCTGAGCAAGCGAAGCGCGGCGCTGGAGGTGCGCTCGGGTCCCAGTCTGGGATTAACTCCTGTAGAAGCCCTTCTACTCCCGGTTCGAGCTCCCCCATCAGCACGTCCAGCGTGAGAGAGGTCGAACCCGCGATCTCCGGGGCCGACACTCGGGGTGGCCGGTGGAGTGACCTCCTCGTTGATAGTGGAGCGGCTATGGTTTGCTGCTCGGCGGTTGGTCTCGGCAGCGTTGGGCGGCGCGTTCCTCTCGGTGGATATCCCGCGGCGGTGGACCGAGGATCGATGACTTGGCGCGGCAATGTTCGGCGGTGGTCGGGGTCGCGTCTCTTTGCGGCGGAACTTCTGTCCCGTCTCGGTTTCGCTATCACTGGACTCCGACTCCCACTGCATAGCCTTCCCGGTGGGCTGGTAGCCCTGCTCGGTGGTCTCGCTGGCGGTGGGGATCGAGCCTTGGCTCGAGGATGCTAGCGGTGTGTCGTCGTATGTCTGGTTGCGGAGCGCTTGTCGGCTCGTGGACGCCAATGGTGCGTCGTCGTATGTCTGGTTGATGTGGAGCGCTTGTTTGCTCGTTGACGCCAATGGTGCGTCGTCGTATGTCTGGTTGCTGACGTGGAGCGCTTGTTTGCTCGTTGACGCCAGTGGGGCGTTGTCACCTGCCCGGTCGCCGGGGAAGATGGGTAGGGCCGCATCCTCCCCCAGTGCTGGCGACGGCGGGCGGACTTCGGGCGTGTTCCCCATGTCCATCTCCCAGTCCTCGTCCGGGGCCATTATGCATAGCCTCTCCGGTGACGGGGGAAAGGTGATGATCGGGTCGGGAGTCGGCCGGAAGGGTGCCTCGATGGGGATGGAGGTATAGTGGTTGTGGATTAGTTGGATCCACGATCCCCGCCAGAAGCCGTACCGTTCCTCTCCTTCCCATCGGTAGTGTGCTGCCGAGGGGGCACCATCGTCTGGCACGCTATCGCTGCTGATCGTTTGCGCGTCGTCATCGTCCTGCTCACTGGCTTCCTCCCCTTGGTATCCGGGGTACGGCGGTGTGGCATCGCTGTCAGTGACATCTTCCAGCACGTAGTCATCGTCGCGTGTCGGGGCAGCCGGACTGGGGGATCGAGAGTCTCCCTCCTCGTCGTCGTCCTCGTCTGACTCCGGGTCCTGCTGGCGAGGGCTGCACGGACTGTAACGCCCTTCAGGTGGTGGAGCAGCAGCGGTCGGGTTTGGGTATCCTGGAGCGGGGCCCGGGTTGTAGAACCATCGGGAATGGCCCGGCGCATCCGGGTTGTGCGAACCTTGGTAGGGTCCCGACGGCGGAGCTTAAGAGCATGGGATCCTGCGCCCAGTCCTGTCCGTGTAGAACGGGGAGATCGAGCGGCCCGAGGGTCGTGGAGGCGTTGGTGGCGCGGCGCGCCGTGGTGGCGAGGCTGGGGGAGACTCGTCCGAAGACTCGGACATCGGGCGCGGCGTGGCCCGGCGCGGTGGCGCTCTGGACGTAGTTGGCCGCATCGGGGGCGACGGGGCTCGGGTAGGGCCTCGAGTCTGTCGGATCCCGGTTGGGCAGGCTCTTGTGGGTCTGCCGGCGTAATATGTGCCAGGGCGCATCCGGGGATCTCGGGGGTCGCAGGTCTGTCGTAGGCTCCATTGGGAGCCGTGTTCTCCTCATCGCTGGAGTCTACTAGGATGGGCTCCATCCTGGTTGATCCGTGGCTCGCGCGTAGATACGTCTAGGGGAGAAAGAGAACTATCCAAACTTAAGCTAACTGATACTTAAGGGTTAATGTCCTAACGGGCAGTAGTAGGCAAAAGTTCTAAGGTTAATCTAATTGCTAACAATGGTCTTAGGGTTAGAAAAAAATTAGTAGGCTACTTAAATTCACCCCCCGCTGATATCGTGGTCGGGTGACCGTGGCTTGTCGGACCCGGGTTGAACACCGGCGTTGTCCTCCGACATGGCGTCGTCGTCGGTGTCTGCATCACCTGTGGGAAGAGAAGAATGGAACTCTTTTAAGTCGGCGATATTGGCAAGGCGGCCCTTTCGTTTCCCGGGCAAGCGGATTCGGGCTATGTTTGGGGACGGAAGGGCGACCACTTTGTATGGCCCGTCGAACTTGGGCGCGAGTTTGGCGGCGAACCCATCCACTGCTTTGGATAGGTGATGTTGGCGCACGAGGACCAGGGAGCCGATGGTGGGCCTCCATGCCCGACGCCTGAGGTCGTACTGCCGTCCTTGGTCGCGGCTGGCCTTCTGGATGTTTGTCTGGACGATCTGGAAAATTTCCTTCAGTCGTCCAGCTCGGTCGGCAGGGGTCTCCGGAGGGACGCCTGTCCCCGGTGTCACTTCATCATACCATGAGCCTGGTAACCGTGGCTCACGCGCCTGTAGCAGGAAGGCGGGACTGAACCCTGTGGTCTCCGAAACGCTGGTATTGATGGCGAGACTCAGCTCAGGTATCAGCTGATCCCACGTATTTTGATCGCTGCCGACGTACTGAGAGATCATGGTCTTGACTGTGCGGTTCGCTCGCTCCGTGGGGTTCTCGCGTGAACAATAGGGGGCCGTGTATTGGAGTTCTACGCCCATCGCCTTAAGGAATCCTCTGAAGGCCTTGCTGGTGAATTGGGTGCCATTGTCGCACACCAGTTTCTTTGGGGCTCCAAACCTCCCAATGATTCTTTCGCGGAACGCCTGTATCAGCGTGGTGGTGGTGGCTTTTCGTAATGGGACTAATTCCACCCACTTGGTGAAACTATCGAAGAAGACCAGCAGCATTGTTTCCTGCCTTGGAGCGCGGTAGTGGTCCCACGAAATCTGCACATACGATGCCAAAGGGTTCATCAACCTGTCTCGTCAACATCCTTCCTGCTTGTGCCTTTTGCTCTGCTTTATATTTCTGGCAGAGGACGCATTGGCGGACGTATTGTTTCACGTCGCGGAATATTCCGGGCCACTAATATTTTTGTGAGATCCGCAGAATCGTCTTCCGGGTGCCAAGGTGGCTAGCCGTGGGCGCGTCATGGCATTCCTGGAGAATCCGCGCTCGATGCTCAGCCGCAACGCAGAGCTTCCAGGGGATATAATCCTGGTCGTCTGGGCGGTGTCCGAGGTGTCGGTACAGCTCTCCGTTCTCGATGACATAGTCGGGAAATCTCTGGGGGTCATCCTGAACATCCGCCAGTTTCCGTTTTAGCCATTTGCACAAGCGTTCGTCTGGCACTAGCCGTTGTAAGTGCTCCAGTGGCTGCCGGGATAATGCATCGGCGACCACGTTGTATTTCCCGCGGCGATAGTGGACATCGTACTGGTACTGTTGAAGTTCTAAGGCCCACCGGGCGATCCTTCCAGTCGGGTTCTCGATTTGATCTAGCCATTTCAGGGCCAAGTGGTCTGTGATCACGTCGAAGCGATAGCCCTCGAGATAGCATCGGAGCTTGCGAATTCCCCAGACGATGGCTAGGCATTCCTTTTCCGTAGGGGAGTAGTTGAGTTCGGCAGCGTCTAGCTTCCGACTCACGTATGCGATGACCCGTTCTTGTCCTTCTATTTCCTGCGTCAGCACGCCTCCGAGTCCATAGTTACTCGCGTCGGTCTGTAGCGTCATCTTGACGGAAAAGTCTGGACATGCCAGCACCGGAGCATCCGTCAGCAGACTTTTGAGGAGCTCGAAGGCTTTCTGGTGTTCTTGTTCCCACTTCCACCGCTGGTTTTTGCGCAGCAAGTTCGTCATGGGCTGAACAACAGACGCGAAGTTCGTTACGAACCTCCTATACCATGAGGCCATGCCTAGGCATCTGCGTAACACTCGAAGGCTCGTGGGTGGACTGAGGTTTCGCACGGCGGCTACTTTTTCAGGGTCCGTGTGAATGCCCTGGTCGCTAATGACGTGGCCGAGATAAACCAACTTCCGTTTGAAGAAGGAACATTTATCTTGGTTTATCCGCAAGTTCGCCCTCCTGAGGCGCTTGAAAACTCTCCGCAGATTCTCCATATGCTCTTCGAGGCTGGCACCGATGACAATTATGTTGTCGAGATAAGCGAAGGCATGAGGATCCAAATCCGGCCCGATCACGCTGTCGAGCGCTCGCTGGAAGGTTGCTGGAGCCGAATGGAGCCCAAAAGGCATGACTCGCCACTGGAAAAGGCCGCGGCCAGGGACCGTAAAGGCGGTACACGCCCGACTGCCTGCTTCCATTGGAATCTGCCAATAGCCATTGCGCAAATCCAGGGTGGAAATATACTTTGCATTTCGAAGCCGCTCAAGGATATGGTTGATACGCGGAAGTGGATACGCGTCGGGGATCGACTTGGCATTTAGCTGGCGATAATCTAGCCATTGTCCAGTCTTTTTCCTGACCAGGACCAAGCGAGCGCTGTGCGGACTGCGCGATGGCTCGATACAATGCTGATCAAGGAGGGCGTCCACCTGCTCGTCGATGATCTTCTGCATAGCTGGGTTCTTTGGGAAATACGGCTGCTTGATGGGCCGATCGTCTCGCATGGTAATCCTATGCTCGGCGATGTTGGCCACTCCGGTCATTCCCTCGAACTGGACCAGCTGCTCGTGTAAGAACGCTTGGATACGAGGGTCTTGTTCCTCGTTGGTGGGCTCCTGAGTCTCGAGGCGGTAATGCTTGGGTGTTCCTGCGTTGGTGGCCTCGGGGGCGCCCTCAAGATTCTCCTCGGGTGTCTCGGGGTGTATGTCATTGTGTGCCTCTGTGTGCTTGTCCTCGGTGTTTATAATCTCGTGTGTCTCTGTGTGTCTCCCTTGTGTGCCCGCGTCGGGGCTCCCGTGTGTCTCTGTGTGTTTGTTTTATTGCTCTCCGGCGTTAATATTCCAGTGTATCTCGTGGTGCTCTCCGGCGTTAGTATTCCCGTGTATCTCGTGGTGCTCTCCGGCGTTAGTATTTCCGTGTATCTCCGTGAAATGGTCGGCGATGCCCAGGCGGTGCTCTTCCTGGCGAGCAGGCGGTGCTTCCTCGCTCAGCTCGGATCCGGCTGGGCCCCGTGGGCTGGGTGGTTCGGTGGTTCGAGAGTCCGGGGCGTCCGTTGTATGTATGCTGCGTCTCGCTTCTCTGGGTGGCCTCATGTCCCGCTCTTCCGGCTGTCGTCTCGACAGGATGAGTTTAGCAGTCCCACACTGGATGGTGGTGCCGATTGTGGCCAGGAAATCCATGCCCAGGATCAGGGGTTCCAACATGGCCGGCATAACGAAGAGGGGCACCTGGATGGTCTTCCGAGCGAGGGTGATATCGGCGCGCAGGAGTTGTCGAACCTCGACTCGCGAGGTGTCGGCCAAGTTAATTTGGGTGCGGATCTCCTGAAACTGGTGTCGTTGGCCAACTAGGTTGGCGACTTCCTGGCTGATGAAGCTCTTCGATGCGCCAGTGTCGATGGTTGCCAGGCGTAGATGGCCACCGATCTCGACTTCTGCGGCGATCCTCCCTCTCTCGATTCTTAGCGGCGCGTTTACAAGGTGTTCGTTGCGGGATTGGTCCCCAACGGACTCCGTCGGTCGTGGGGACCCACTCCGTTTCCCGGCTGGGGTCGACGACAGCACTCTACGGTGCGAACATCGCGTCGTCCGCAGTCCCAGCAAAAGTATAGCCGAGGGTTCCGGCATTCGCGGCTGAAATGCCCGGAATCCCCGCAATTTCGGCACGCATCCCGCACGTTGATGCGGCGGTCTGGTGTCGCTACCCGGTTTACTCGCACGGGCACGGGTGGCCGTACCTGACCCGGCGTCCGCGGAAGGTCGTTTGATCCGGTGCACCCGGGAGAAAATGTTTGACCCCCACTGTGGGGAGGCGGACGGAAGGAGGGGCTACTTGGAGGCCCTAGGCTGCGTCGCCTGACGGCTTCGAATTCGGTTGCCAGTTGGGCCAGCTCCCCAATTGTTTGGAACTCGCTGCGCCGAATGTACATCTGATAGTCGGGTGCGATATTCTCGTACAGGCGGTCGAGCTCCTGAGTCTCGGTATAGCTCGCGTGGCGCATGAGAACGCGAAGGTCGAGCATATAATCTTTGAAAGTTTCTTCTCCTAGCTGCTCGCGACTCCGGATTCGGTCGTCCAAGCGCTGGAGGTACCTGGGCGGGAGGAAAAACTCGAGGAATTCCCGTCGGAATTCAGCCTCTTGGAGGCGGCTGGTTTGAAACCACTTGTCGGCCCTGCTCGTCAGCAGTTCCGCCATGGCTCGAGGAAGAAGTCCTAGGTCGATTCCATAGGACAAGGCCCGACTTTCGACCTGTTCGATGAAGGCCAATGGGTCGGAGTACCCATCAAATTGTAAACCCCCATTTGCGGATCCGCTCTGGGACGCACACAAAGTCGCGACGAGGCCGGTCGTAGCTCGGCTCAGAGTAGGTTTCTCGAGCGGTAGTGAAAGTAGGAGGGGCGGCGACGGCGAGGCTTGGGGCGGTGACAGTGAAGCTGGGAGTGGTAACAACGAAGCTAGTTGGAGGAACTGAAGTAGTGGAACCGGGGGCGCTACGTGGGCGTCCAGAATTTGCATATTACTCGTGGAGAGGCCACTGGGTCCCGGCCGTTCTTCTCCCTGAGGCCCAGGGCTCGGGCCCCGAGTGGTATACCGACGCTCCAGGTCGGCGAGTCGAGTCCACACTTCCTGTGGTTGCTCGGATTCTTTGA